TTTACTTTTTTTATTCAGTGTGGTGTATCTGCACTGCGTTGTGTTGTTTTTTTTTCAGCATATCATTTTAATATGTGACAATAAAAGGCTTTCTTTGTAGCATTTTTTCATAGCCTAAATCAGGGCTGTCCAAACTCGGTCCTGGAGGGCCGGTGTCCTGCAGAGTTTAGCTCCAACCCTAATTAAACACACCTGAACCAGCTAATCAAGCTCTTACTAGGCATAGAAACTTTCAGTCAGGTGTGTTGAGGCAAGATGGAGCTAAACTCTGCAGGACACCGGCCCTCCAGGACTGAGTTTGGACAGCCCTTGCCTAAATGAACAAAGCTTCTAGGTGATAATACTAGAGAGAGAAAACATAAGAAAAAGAGTGAGAAAGCAAAAGTGAGACCTCGCTTCCATCTCCTGGGCATGTCTGGAAACTTAGCAACCAGTCACCTGGGGCACTCTCAGATATCTACCCAGCTGCCAAGGTGCATCTGTGTAGCAGGGCGGCTCAAACTTAACCAAGGCCAGAGATAGAGAGGCTGACATGGTGACTGAAAATGGGAATGTCTGGAAACCGTTCCACATGATGCTCGGGCAAAAGCATGTAAAAGAGGTATCAGACATTCTAGTAGCACATTCATCTTATTGTTTTTTTGTTTTTTTTGCCATGGTTTTTATGAAAGAAAAGAGTCTGTGTTCGTTGTTTGCTTGCCCTCATTTGAAGTCCCTCAAAATGACACACAAGTGGTCAGTCACGCTGACAGCAACTTGTAGTGCAATTAGCATGAGCACATGCTTGATTAGAGATTGATGAATGCAGTTGACTGTCTTTTTGTGGTTCCAAAGTATATGACATATCGATCAGCCTGCCGTCTTTGAATCGATCCAGATATTGCTGACAGGGATTTTTGTTGTCAATGAAGGTCACTTGATCTCAGGCAACGCTATCGATTATAGGTTTCTTTATGGATCGTTTGGTCAGCTGATGCCTTTCTGATGGCAGTGACCATGACATTAAATGGTAAACAATGCTTGGATGAAAGATGTTGGATTTTTTTTTTTTTTTGTAATGCTGGGTAGTAATTGATTACATGTGATCTGGATTACGTGATCAGATTCAAAAAATTAAGTACTTGTAATTAGAGTATATTCCATTTTCAAATATTTATAATCAGATTACAGTTACATTTTTATGGATTACATTATTACATATACACAATTGCAGTACATTATTTGTCATTTATTGATTCTCCCTATTTTCCCTCTCTTTTAAATGTTCCTTTCTAAAAATCCTACTGTGTCATACTAATTAGCTTTGACTATATTCACAAATATTATGTAAAAAAAAATTTGCAGACCATGCTTCTGAATTTGAGGGGGAAAAGCACCTCTCAAGCAATTAGACCATGTATGAAAAAAATAATTATGCATGCTAAACACTGGTGATAGCTGTTAAGCACTGTGTTGTCACCATATGACATCCCATAACTGTTGATTCTGGAAGTCTGAACAAAAATATTTCAAATCTGGAAGAATTTGAGCATGTAATGTCATTGTTGTTTTCATGTCGGGGAAGTCGTGGCCTAATGGTTAGAGAGTCGGTCTCATAACCCAAAGGTTGTGGGTTTGAGTCTCATACCGGCAGGGATTGTAGGTGGGGGGAGTGAATGTACAGTGCTCTCTCCCACCTTCAATACCACGACTGAGGTACCTGACCCCCCAACTGCTCCCCGGGCGCCGCAGCATAAATGGCTGCCCACTGCTCTGGGGATGTGTTCATGGTTTGTGTGTGTTCACTGCTGTGTGTGTGCACTTTGGATGGGTAAATGCAGAGCACTAATTCCGAGTATGGGTCACCATACTTGGCCACATGTCACTTCACTTTAATGTTTATTCATGCAATGGAGGGATTCCTTTTTTTTCAGCCAAACCCCTTAAAAACAATTTACATGAAATATCTCAGAGGAAGTTAATATTTCAAATAATTGAACAACACATTTGCATATTTACAGTTCTCTGATGCCGGTTACCACTGCAGTTCTGATATTAAGCCCAGTTTGGGAAACCTTTTGTGGTTCCAAAGTATTTAAGTGTTTAATACATTGTATGAAAAAAAAATTTAATATTGTTTTTTTCTCTTTGCTTTTTTATATCAATATGGTATGTTTAATGGTAAGTCTAAAACAAATTTGTTAAAAAGTCATATAAAAGTAATCTAAAAAGTAGTCAGATTACATAGCCTGAAATGAGTAACCTTGAGTACGGTACTAACTACTGTTTTCATCATGTTGTAACGTTGGGGAGGCATGACAATGCAGTAGTGGATCCAAGTGCAGGCTTTGTTTTAAAAGAGTGGTAAAAACAGGCAGGGTCAAACAACAGCAAACAGGTATAATCCAGGGCATACAAAAGAGTAATCCAATAAACAGGCAATGGTCAGGGCAGGCAGCAAACGATCAAAAACAAGGTAAACAAGGTCAAAAACACAGAGGCAAGGCAAGGCAAAAAAACACAGAAACTAGGGAAAGGTGACAGGCTAACAATAATCAGCAAAGTGAGTGTGTGTGAGTGCATCCTATATAGTCCTCCTGATTGGAAACAGGTGAGACCGGTTACCAGTTCCAGCTAAGGGGTTTATGGGAGTTGTAGTCCAGAAAGGAAACGGATCATAACACATGTAGTCTGTAATCAGTAATGGACTACAATTTGTAAATCTACCAGCTCTACCAAGCACTCTTAATAAATGTATTACTAAAAATATTCTGCATAAATATTATGATGTTAGCACTGCCCCTGCTAACGTTTCCATGAACCTTATACCTAAAAGATTTTGCCATGCAATTTTCTCTGTAAAACATCTGATAATGTGACATTAAATGAGTAATAAGTGATTCTGTAATTGTAGAATAGAACTCTAATAAAAACTTCCCAAATGGGCACTTTCAATACATTTACAAAACATTGCATTTTTGTTGTGTATATATATATATATATATATATATAATAAGTACTGCAGCGTAACGCAGTGACACCAAACTCAATGCTGTGAAATGCTTTTGTGCTTGCTGAGTTTGTTCTCTTTACTGTAAAGAGATCATGTAACAGTAAATAATGTGTAAAATGACTTCCACTTAAAGAAGTTCTTGCCACACAAGTCAAGAGTGCACACGCTAATTGCTTACAGAGGCTTTTAAGTAAAAAGGTGTTTTTTTCTGGTTAGTGTCATTGCAGTTGAACATAATTGGTGATTCCATGACAGCAAGGATCAAAAGGAAAAGAATTACCTTCTCATTAAAAAAAGCAGTTCATGCCCACAAGCCACACACAACCTAGGCTCTTCACCAGCAGCTGAACTGTGAACATTTCACTGCTTTCGTTAATGTTTCTACCTTTTGATATTAGCAAAGAGGGAAGTTATCTGGCCGAGTGGTTTCCATGGAGATGGAGAGGAAATCTTTGTCAGGATGACAGCAAATTTAAGGGTGTAAAGTATGTTAAGAGAAAAACTCAAGGGCTTGATCACAGCACTTCTTCAAATATGTTCTATATTTGGCTATATTCGGATTCAAATACTAGTGTACTGCAGTGCATACTACACAGTATGCACTTAACAAAAAAAAAAAAACAGGCAGTTGTAATTTCTTAAAATACAATTTTTTTTGGTTTTGTTATATTTTTATGTTTATGTTTTGTTTTATGTATTTGTTTTGTTTTGTTGGTGATTTCTCTAAATAAAAATAAAGCCATTAAAGGGGGGGAAAAAACAGCATACGGCTTTATGCATACTGCACAATATACACTTTAAAACTGCCTTTTTTGGTTTTGTTTTGTTTCAAAAATTAAAACCATAAAAGGAAAAAATATAAATATCGTGTGTACTTTAAAATATAAAAATAATGAAAACAAATGGTCCTTTACTTCATCTTAGACAGAATACAGATGTGTTGTGTTCAGTGATGACTTCAGATGATCGCTTGGTAACCAAGTTCGCACTGCAATTAGATTAAAAGAGCACACAGATGTTTTGCCAGTTTTGTTTGAAAGTAAGGATTGCATGTCTGAGTGAATGAAGTTAGCATCTCATTAAAAGCGCTGTTCCTCTATACAGGCCTGATCCGAGCGGTTCATGAATTTGAGTTTGGAGCTGTAATCAGATGAGCGTCTCTAGTCTCTGTCTCCAGTCATCGCTCGGCATGAGAACCTGCTAGCTTCCTCTGACAATATCATGCTAACACAGGGCAGTTTCTCTCCCAATAGGGTTTTATGTGTGAGAGCATAGAGTTAATGGAATAATACACCCAAAAATGACATTTCTGTAACATTTTCTCCTCTTCATGCCATTATTTTTCTCTCTTTATTTCTCAATACTTATGATTTTTCTGTGGTAGTCTCTTTGCTGCCTTTAATAAATGTTTGAATGTATTAACGGATGTATGTTATTTATTTTAATGCCATGGATTAGCCTCCTTATCAGTTTATGGAGAGTAGGCAACCATTCTAATTTCACACTTGGGAGATACAAACAAACAAACAAACCTGTCTATTAGCTGTTATATGCATATATATATATATATACCTAAAATATTTTGCCATGCAATTTTCTCTGTAAACATCTGATAATGTGTCATTAAATGAGAAATAAGTGATTCTGTAATTGTAGAATATATATATATATATATATATATATATATATATATATATATGTGTGTGTGTTGGTATGTAATTTTTGGCAAACTACCATTTCTTAGTGTTGCTTCTTGCTGGGCCAGTTGATATTTTTGGTTGTTTTGGAGCATAAAAAGGGCTTTAAGGGCCGTAAACTGAATATCATCCATTCCCAAACCTACACCCATGACTCCTCCAAGGCTCATTTAATCCATTTAATCACTGTCAGTGTAAATGAAACCATTGGTTTTATCAGTGGTATTCCTTATAATAGTATGTGAGTCATTCTGGTTGTTGATGCAGGTCTACATATTGACGTAAGTATGTATTTATATTTGTGCTTTCAGAGGGCCCGGTGATCTGGCGCATGTTGACCTACCCTCCGGCACGCCGTGCTCTCATTGTGGGCTGTGCACTCCAGATGTTCCAGCAGCTTTCTGGCATCAACACGGTCATGTAAGTCTCATTTACTCAATTCGTAGCTCAATTGTCAGGTGCTCTTTGAATCTCAACCTAAATCAGTAGGCGTCAGTTGAAATACTATCATCAAATCTGTTATGTTCTCAGGAGGCCATGTTGTACTCCTTTTTTTTCTTTTTTTTTTTACTTTTAAAAGCACTGAACAAAAACAGTCGTAAACTCTGTTTTTACAGAGTAACAGAGTGTACAGAGTTCTTAGCTGCCTTGCTGTCTACATAGTAAACAACATTTAAAGAAGTATCCTTATTTAAATGGAACCTCTAGCGACTGATTTTTATTGTGCTGCTGTGCCTAGTGAAATTTCTTCTTTGGGGACCAATAAAGGAACAATCCTAATATGATGATATGCTACCTATGCTATTTTCCTTTATGTGGGAGGCCAGCCTGGATGATTCACAACCGATTAAAAATTCACAAGTTTTTTTTTTTTTTTCACATTCACAGATGTGACTGCCTATAATTCTCATTTTAGCTGAACTTTAGTGGATACCCTGCTAAAGTGTGATTTCCTCTTCGTGATCTCTTGTCTTTTTTTTGCTCCTGACGTGCTGAACTATTTTTCAAGCATCGTAAACAATCTCGGAATGTGTGCTGTTGCTAGGCAACCCCTCATGGCAAAATTAAAATTGTGTGTGTGACTGTGTGTTTACTTTTTCTCAGCTGTCATTTTGGAAGATGACAGGTCATGACAGATGGGTCCTAAAATGGCATTCTCGATCACTCAAACACCTTCATTCTTACCCTTCTGTCATTGTCGATCAATCTGTTCAGAGCAGGTTTAGACAGACAGTAGAGCAGTTAAAATTGACATGAACACTCATACACACATATATGAAGTATTTGTGAGGTTTAACCTGATGTGCTATTTCGTATTTACCCAAAATCCCCTACTCTTCAATCGTTTCTGCACTGTCAGATGTTAGTCCTTTGTACAAAGGAAGTCTTGTTGTGTGATGTGTCAAGCTTCACCTCGGCAAGAAGCTTTTGTCAATACATCTCATGGAGCAAATGTCTGGGGGGACATGTGCCGATTTTATATCAGTTGGAAATATTGATTGTCTTTATAACACTGTAGTTACAGCATGTGTACCAGCACAAGCTCACTGTCCTATATATATATGTAACGAATCAGCTCATGAGGAAATATGAATAATTAACCATAACTAGTTATAATTAATTATTCATATTTTAGATCCGCTGTAGATATTTACTTGACCTCTCAGGGTCAACTGTCTGTCAATTCTAAGAACGTTAATTTCCTGGTTAAGGGAAATAACTTCTTACTGTACAATTCTACAAAGAGCTTGTAGCATAAATCTTGCATAATAAGTGACTCCGGTTATGAGCAAACAATGAACACGTCAAGTGTGATACAAGTAAGGTTTTATTAACTACATAAACACTTAAACTAGTCTAACAGACTACATAAACACATAAACTGGTCTAACATCCTACATACACACATAAACTGGTCTAACATACACATAATCTAATGAATAATTGATTTGTTAAATCAAATAAAAATTAGTGTGTCAGATTGGTCGAGACGCTACAATATATATATTTCAAATGCTAAAATATATTTATCGTCGTTATCCATGAATTTTCGAATGTACTGTTTTACAAGTAAGGCAGAAAAATTTATAAAGCACTATATTATTATTATATTTTTTTATTCAGATGCCCATTTACAGTCAGTAACAATGCAAGCTGTTATCAAGGCCAAAGGTGGCCGTACAATATATTAAGGTTTTTTTATTATGTGTGAATAAAGAATATTTGTTATTTGCCTAATAAATGACAATAGGTGGTCCAATAAATGTGTTAAATTTATTAGATTGTATTTTTTGACTGTAATTGGGCATCTGAATAAAAAAAAAATAATTTTGTGGTCTAATTAATTTAAGCACTGTGTATATATATATATATATATATATATATATGACACAGCATTTCATATAACACCATAAATGAATTTTTGAACAAAAAAGTAAGTGTCTTTACTGGCTTCTTATATCTGGACACAAGCACAATAGATTTGTTTTATCAGTGATCAGCAGTCCCTCCTGATGGACGAGACCCCTGTGTAGGCTGAAGCACTGGTGTAATTAGCTTATGCTAATGCTTCCTTCCAATCAGACATTGAACATGCCTGCTTTCCTGCAAAGAGCTTTCTCTCCTCTCACCCCACTCCCCACTCCCTTATTCACATGCCTTAATCGCTAATTAATGTATTTTTTTAGTATAAAACATTGTCATTACACGCTAGCAAAGAAATTTAAACAAGTTTCAAGGGTTGTGGAGTGATCAGTATTGCTGATGTTTTGTGGTCGTGGGTTTCTGAGATGACATCCTGTATGTGTATGCGTGCCTAGCAACTGAGCCTCATCTGTGCCTGGATAAAATGATTAGATTAATCCCTGTTGCCAAAACCGGCAGAACAATCCGGAATCTCTGTGTTTTAATAAAGAATGATGCTAATTAGAGGCACTGGCGGCCATCAGCAGTACTGACTGGTTTGAGTGATACATTGTTGGCCTGTTTTTATTCTTTCTGGCACACTATGACTTGTTCATTGGCTTTGTGACAGTTCTGGCACCAACAGTCTTTGGCATTCTGTGATTTTTGATGCGTATGATTCATGCTTACCATCCATGGACCTCCCACTGTCTGTTCACTGACCGTCTGATGCATATTGCATACAAAATTGGCGAGAGCTTTCTGGAAACGGCAAGTTCTGATCTGGGGAGCGTAGGCCTGGGTGATAAAACATTATCGATATTTATCGACGGTAAACCTTCTTCGATAACGATAGAAATTTTTTTTGATATAGTGCACGATATAGGCACGTGCTATGAGTGACGCTGGCAGCACACACAAACACGAACAAATGCTGAATTGAGTGCTGTGCCTGCCTGTGATGGGGAGATTTAAATCTAAATAAAGAATGAATATTAGTCGAATTTAAAATAAACATTTGCAATGTTAGGTGTGCGTCTGGGAGCATCATCAATGGAGCACGAGATGCGGTGATGATGATGTAAGTGACGTTGTTGCATTTTAATGTTTTGTTAGTCTAGCCCAGGAGACGCGCAGTTGCTGCGTTATTCATTCAAAATATTAGAGAAATATAGAAGCTCAATGCGGAGAAGATTTTTAGACTGACAAATATGACTGCTGCACTCGTGTCTCACGCACGAGATGCATAGAAAGTCATGCAAAGTTAAAACAGTTTTACTTTTAGAAAACATGTCACGAATTTGTGGAGGTTTATTCCTTTTCACTGCGTCTCATATGTTTTTAAATGCATTCTGTGTGAATGGGGCTCCGGCTCTTTGGATTAAGCAATGCATAAATACATGATGCTGTTTTGTTCATAATTGTTTATGCAATTTGATTTTTATTAGTTAATTTAGACGTAATGCACGTTTTTTTATAGAGTTGCTTCCTTGCGTTGACAATTTAAATGCGCTGCATTATTTTGCTCATTGCGCCCTCCTGTGGCCTCGGGAGACAAGACAAAAGTTTCCTTAAAACCTATTTCATCTGCATATAAAACATTAGAAATTAGATATTTGTTTAATTTTTATTTTGTGTTTGATTGTTAAAACAAAAAATATTTGTTGTTTGTCTCAATAAATTGGGTTAATTAAAAAATACAGTGGTTAAATTTAAACATGTTTTTCTATTGCTCTTTGTTTTGAAAAAGGTTATAAAAAATGTCAATAATTATCGATACCAAACAATATGAAACATTATATCATTGATACATTTTTTAGCTATGTCGCCCAGCCCTAGGGGAGCGTTTCCCAAAAGCATTGTTACCCAAGTATGGTCGCAAGTTCCATAATAACCAACATAATTCAACAATTCTGCAGTTCCTGAATAGTTCCATCAAACATTCGCAAACACTCATTATTGTGTACAATTTTGTCTACATAAAATTCATCAAATCATACCAACATGATTTAAAGGCAGCATTACATGCATTTCTGCGAGCCATTTTTTATTACCATTATGCAACATTTTAGCTGCTATTTACATCAACAGCCCAAATACTTTGGTCAGATGAATGTCTTTCATATTTTGTTATGTCTGTCTTTTGTGCGTGCAGATCAGTGTGTCTATATAATACCGTATACCATCTGAGCACAAAACAATGTTCATTCCTTTCATTAGTGAAATAGGTTAGTCCCCGTGGGAGTGTTTCTGTCTCTACCTCTTTGTCTGTCTCTCTCTTAGCGTCTCCCTCTGTTTTTCTCTCTCTCTCACACACATTCTTGTCTACATAAAATTCATCAAATCATACCAACATGATTTAAAGGCAGCATTACATGCATTTCTGCGAGCCATTTTTTATTACCATTATGCAACATTTTAGCTGCTATTTACATCAACAGCCCAAATACTTTGGTCAGATATTTTCATACTTTGGTCTTTCATATTTTGTTATGTCTGTCTTTTGTGCGTGCAGATCAGTGTGTCTATATAATACCGTATACCATCTGAGCACAAAACAATGTTCATTCCTTTCATTAGTGAAATAGGTTAGTCCCCGTGGGAGTGTTTCTGTCTCTACCTCTTTGTCTGTCTCTCTCTTAGCGTCTCCCTCTGTTTTTCTCTCTCTCTCACACACATTTTTCGCTGGCTTCAGTGCCGAGAGCAAGTCCACAGTACCCTCAACGCTCTCAGCCTGTTCTCCATTACGTCCCTTCACTCTTGTTAAATCCTGTTATCATGAAGATGGATTGTGTCTGAGATTCAACCAAAAACAGCACAAGCAATCTGTTGCTCTATGAGTCAGTCCGTATGCAAAATCCTTTCAGAAAGCTCATTTATATTCAGGGCCGCTATTTTGGAAGACATAAGATCCTCTGAAAGCCTGAAACCTTTAGTCATATTTTAAAAGAAAATAGAATATCAATTTAAATTGAACATTCTTCTTAAGGTTTAAAAATACATCTGCCAATTTATCAGCCA